TTTTGAAAGAGCCATTTCAATGCTCTTTCAGGATTAGGAGGATGAGATCCATCATTGTTATTGGTATTTGGCATATTAAGTGTGACACGGGAAGTTTGCCAGACTCTGCCGTGCGGGCAGGATGCTTTTTGTAGCCTGCCAGGTTCTCCAAAGGAAAGATAATAAGATGTCGTGCCGACAGCGCCAGGTTGGTCCCATCAACAGCCAAGACACAGAGACTATAAAACCCAGCTCCCGGAGGAGAACAGTGCAGTCTCCTGCCCCCCAGCCTGGCTGTCCTCACCGGGGCCCCTTGGAAGAGGTAGGGTTTAGTTTCTCTCCCCCCCCCCCCCGCTCCGAGCAGAGCCCCAGCAGCTGAGGACCTCCGGAGCCAGCCACGGCCATGCTGGGACCACTCTCCACACGTCCAGACGGGCCTCATGCATGAAAGAACTGGCAGAGGAATCCAGGCATACGGTTCCTGGGGCTGAGGTCTCCAAGCTTACTCAGATTGGGACTGGGCCTTCTCCACCCAGACTCCCCATCTTCCAGTAGGTAGGCATCACACCCACCAGCTGCCGACAGAGCCAGGTTGGTCCCATCAGATGAGTATTGGGTAAATATCCTTTCCCATTCTGTAGATTGTCTTTGTATTATGGTCACTATATTTTTTGAGGTCCAGAAGCTTCTTAATTTAAGAGTCCCAATTGTTTATCTCTGTTTCCACTTGGTTGGTCGTGGAGTGTCGTCTTTGAAGATAGCATTAGCCTCAATATCCTGGAAGGTTTTGCTGACCTTGTCTTTGATGTATCTTATGGATTTTGGTCTGATGTTGAGATCATTAATCCATTTTGATCTGACTTTTGTGCATTGTTTTACGTCGAGTTCTAAGCCCATTTTTTTGCTTGTGGTTGTCCAGTTATACCAGCATCATTTGTTGAAGAGGCTTTCCTTGCTCCACTTCATATTTCTTGCTCCTTAATCAAAGATTAGATGTTCATACATTTGGGGTTGTGTGTAGGGATATTCCACCCTGTTCCTTTGGTCTGCAGCCCTGCCCTTTTCCAGTACCATGCCGTTTTAATTATTACCGTTTTGTAGTAGAGTTTGCGGTTGGGGAGGTTAATACCTCCCCATGTCTTTTCCCCAAGAATTGCTTTAGCTATTCGTGGGTGTTTCTTGTTCTATATGAATTTCAGGAGTGCTTGATGAATTTCTTTGAAGAATTTCATGGTATCCTTATAGGGATCGCATTGAATCTATATAGTGCTTTGGGGAGTATTGCCATTTTTGCAATGTTAATTCTTCCTATCCATGAGCAGGGGATATGTTTTCAATTACTCGTGCCCTCTTTTGGAGTACATGAAGTAGCATTTTGTAGTTTTCAATGTAGAGGTCCTTTACCTCTTTAGTTAGGCTGGGTCCGAGGTATTTGGTTTTCTAGGTCACGATTGTGAACGGGATTATTTTTTTTCATGTCACTTTCCTCTCTTTCATTATTTGCATATAGAAAGGCCATTGATTTTGGGACATTAATTTTATATCCTGCAACTTTACTGTTGTCTGTCCCTTTCTTTATGACTCATTTCACTTAGCATTATACTTTCCATGTAGAACCACTTGTTTGTAAATTTCATGACTTCATCATTTCTAACTGCTTCATTGTATTCCATTGTGTAGATGTACCAAAGTTTCTTTAACCAGTCATAAGTATGCCCACTTTTTGAACTTCTACTCAATATAGTGCGGGAAGTACTTGCCATAGAAGTTAGAGAAGAAGAAGAAGATTTTAAGGGCATCCAGATAGGAAAGGAAAAATTCAACCTCTAACTATTTACAGATGACATGATACTATACTTAGAGAATCCTAAAGCCTCTACCAAAAAGCTCCTAGAAACAATAGATAATATACAATTGTAGAGTGGCAAGTTACAAAATCAATACTCTATAATCATGGCTTTCCTATATGCAAATGATGAATGAGAAGAAAGTGATATTAAGAAAACAATCCTGTCCATAATTGTAGCACAGAAAATCAAGTACCTCGGAATCACCTTAACTAAGGATGAGAAGGACCTGTTCAAAAAAACCTACAAAACGCTGCTGCAAGAAATAAAAGAGGCACAAGAAAATGGAGGCACACCCCCTGTTCATGGAACAATAAACACCCCCATGAATAGCTAAAGTAATCATTGGGAAAAAGAAGATGGGAGGCATCACCTTCTCCAACATCAAACTCTAACACAAAGTGGTTGTTATTAAAACAGAATGTTATTGGAATAAAGACAGACCTGCAGACCAGTGGAGTAAATTTGAATATCCTGGCACAGACCCTCAAATACACTATCACCTAATCTTGATAAGGGAGGAAGAAATATGAAGTGGAGCAAGGAAAGTCTCTTTAACGTGGTACTGGGAAAACTGGACAGCTACGTTTTAAAAAATGAACATGATCTCCACCATGCACAAAAGTCAGAGTAAAATAGATTAAAGACCTCAACATCAGATCTGAATCCATGAGGTACATGGAAGAAAACATAGACAAAACCCTCCAAGACATTGAAGGAAGCTCAAATTATCTTCAAACATGAAACACTGCTCACCAAGTATGTAGGAGCGAAGATTGACAAATGGGATTACATTAAAATAAGAAGCTTCAGCAACTCAAAAGAAACAGTGACTGAAATGCAGAGACAGCCCATTGAATTGGAAAAACCATTCACCCCAAACTTTTGATATTAACCTAAGGAGTTAATATCAAAGATATATAAGGCAATGGTAGAACATTAAAAGAAAACACACCCAACCCCATAAAAATGGGGAGAAGATATGAACAGAAATTTCCTCAAAGAAGAAATTCAAATGGAGAAAATCACTATCACTATCACTATCATCCCATTGTTTATTGATTTGCTCAAGTGGGCACCAGTAACGTCTCCATTCATCCCTGTCACATGCTAGTGTAGCCCGATGGCATATTGGGGGCTCTTTCACGGTCAGGGGAATGAGGATCATCATTGTTACTGTTTTTGGCATATTGAGCATGCCACGGGTAGCTTGCCAGGCTCTGCTATGTGGGCGGGATACTCTCGGTAGCTTGCTGGACGCTCCGAGAGGGATGGAGGCTTTGGGGGCAGCCTCTACTCACCTTTTCAGATGTTCCCAGTCAGGCGTATATGCGGGCAAGATACTCTTGTTAGCCTGCTGGGTTCTCTGAGAGAGAAAAGTAGACAATAAGAGGTCTTCAATAAGCTTTAAGCAGCTTGGTTTTATAGTCTCTGGATCCTGGCCGTTGATGGGGTTACACGACAGTTGGTTGGTGTAACTGTCTAGCTACTGGAAGATGGGGGATCTGGGTAGAGGAGGCCCAGTTCCCAACTGAGCAGGCTTGGAGATCTCAGCCCCGGGTCCCGCACACCTGGGTTCCTCTGTGGATTCCCTCATGTGTGAGGCTCATCCAAGTGTGTGGAGAGTGGTCTTAGCATGGCTGTGGCTGGGTCCCGGAGGTCTTCAGCTGCCGGGGCTCTGCTCAGGGCAGAGAAGGAAACTCAACCTGACCCCCTAAAGGGGCCCCAGTGACGACAGCCAGGCATGGGGAGAAGGAGACTGCGTTGTTCTCTTCTGGGAGCTTGGTTTTATAGTCTCTGGATCTTGGCCGTTGATGGGGTTACACACAGCCATGTTATGAGATACTTCATAACATTACATAAGGTTTTCCATCCATTTATATTCGTGAATAATAGTCTGCCTGCTGGGAGCCTTGCTCCTTGCAGGAAAGAAAAGTCCCTGTAGGAGCTTAGGATACTTTTAGAAGCATTTGCTTCTCAGAAAAGAATTTCAGGAGGAGACACACAGTGAAGTACAACAGGTTTTATCTGGAAACTCTGATGAAGAGATTGACTTGACTAGCTCCAGAATTTGTGACGTCACAGAAAGAATTGGGTCTCAGTCTGAGATGGGCCAGTTCTTGTGGACTTTCTCACTGGATGAATTGCCAGTGGCACTGGGTCATCCTCAGTCTTACCACCCTCCCAGTCTCCCTTGATCTTGAGAAATTGCATTGCTTTGGGGCCCTTCCCTGTCTACCTTCCTACATCCAGAAGATGGTCCACAGAGAGAAACTCCAAGTCCTGAGGAAGGGTCCAGGAAACGAAGCTTTGCCATGAGATGGTGGCAGGAACCTATGGCCTGCACTGATGACTGCCTACTCCACCTGGCACTATGACACTATTCTAGTCTTGTGATGGCGCCGATGCAGGTTGAACCCCTTGTGCTCTCCCAAACCCGGCTTACCATCTCGCTCTGGGTGACACGTGACTCAGCACACCGAGCATGGAATTCTGCGTGTGATCCCTGCTGGAACTCTGCACGTGATTCCTGCTGGACATCACTGGCTGCTTTGTGGGATTAATACAGAATGGTGTCAGCGGGGCGAGGAGACTGTGGTGGCAGCCACAGCATCACCACCTCCCCTGCCTGGGTTGAGTCACAACACCATTGAGCATGGATCAGCGACAGTAACCCGCAAAATGACTTGTCCACTACAGGACGCTGTCCGCCAACCACGGAGTGACTTGGGACTCAGCACAGGTGTTCGACCTGGCACAGACCCTATGCGATAGGATCTTGCTCTGCCAACCATTAAACAACCTCCAGGTGCACTTCATCAACCTCAAGGAGATCAACCTGTGGCCACAGATGCTCTAGGAGCTGCCCGGAGACACAGGCAGGTGCCTGTTGTCAGCATACAAATTGTTACAGCAGGCAGTCACCAGGAGCTTACATTCGGTAGACTGGGAACACCTGCAGGGACAATTAGAGATCGCCCCAAAAGCCTCCGTCTCCCCCCCTGGAGAGCCTGGCAAGCTACCAAGCATATCCAGCCCACATGGCAGAGCCTGGCAAGCCACCTGTGATGTACCAAATATGCCAACAATAGTAGCTAAAATGGGTCTCCTTTCCCTAACCCTGAAGGAGTCTCCAGCTGAGTTGGGAAGAACGAGAGGGCTCATACTAAGTAGATGGCGTGCAAGTCAACAGGCGGGAAGGCACCCGGCAAGCAGCTGGCCACCAAGGCGGCCCGCAAAAACACACAAGCCATGGGTGGCGTAAAGAAGCTGCACCACTACCAGCCTGACACCGTGGCACAATGTGAGATCCGCAAGCTGCCATTCCAGTGTCTGGTGCGCAAGATATTGAAGGATTTCAAGACCGACCTGTGCTCTCAGAGCTCGGCCGCCATGGCGCTGCAGGAAGTATATGATGCCTATCTGGTGGGGTTATTTGAGGACACCAACCTTTGCGCATTCCCTGCCAAGCGCATCACCATTATGCCCAAGGAAATCCAGCTGGTGTGCCACATCTGCGTAGAGAGAGCATAAAGTTTACTATGCTAAAATCTCAGGGCTAGGACAAATGGAGACGCTACTGGTGCCCACTCGAGTGTTTGATGATTAATGGGATGACAGTGATGACAGTGACAGTATATTCATGGAAGAATGGTTTTCAGAAAATTGCAGCATTGTACTATATTTCACCACCAAGTTAATTTTCACTTTAATGTGAATATAAAATTTATGGAAAAAATAATAGTCATTTAGAGATGGGAGTATTTACCTGTTGCTTTGTGAAAATACCTATACTCAAAAATGTGTTTTTAATTTGCCTATTATTAGTAAACTATACTGTCACTCAGATGTTTTTATAAATGAGCCTTAATTCTGCATTTTGGTTCCAGGCTTTACTTTTTAGGCAACTAAAAATGAATCAGGATGACACAAAGCAAAGACCAAAGGAGTATTCTTATATATGATATGGTTTTGTGGTATCTACCTTATAGATTGCCCTTTATTCAAACTCTTAATGAGAAAAATAAAATGAAATAAAATGATTATCCTACAAAAGCTATTATATAGATTCAATGCAATCGCCATCCAAATTCAGATGACATTTTTCAAGGATCTATAAAAGTCAATAAAAATGTTTTTATAGAATTAAAAAAGACTGTGAATAGCTAGAATCATACTGAAAAATAAAGAATTGCGAGGTAACTTAATTACCTTATTTGGAATTTTCATTACCTTATTTGGAAAATTTCATTACCTAATTTGGAACTGTATAGTTATAGTAATCAAAGCTACATGGTGCTTGAATAAAGACAGACCCTTCGATCAATGGGTTAAAATCGAATACCCTATGACAAAACCACATATATAGGGGAAGTTAGTTTGCAATAAAGGAGCTAAGAACATGAAATAAAGTAAAGATAGCCTCTTCAACAAATGGTGTAGGGAAGATTGGATAACTACCTGCAAGAAATTAAAGCTGGATCCATATATTACACTTCACACAAAAGTCAAATCAAATGGATCAAAGACCTTGAGATCTGACGAGAAACTATAAAATACATTGAGAAAAATATAGGCAGAACACTTCAAGATTTGACCTCAAAGGTGCCTTCATAAAGTTAAAGATATTCTGCATGGCAGAAAAAAGACCACAGACTAAAACTAAAATACAGCTAACTGAATGGGAAAATTGCTGTGAATTCATCAAATAAAGGTTTGATATTCAGGATATGTAAAGTACTCACAAAGATCAACAAAAAAATTCAAAAACCTTATTAACAAATGCGGAGAGGAAATGAATAGACACTTCTCAGAGGAAGACAGGCAGTTGGTCAATAGACACATGAACAAAAAATGCTCAACATCACTTATCATTAGAGAAATCAAAATCAAGAAAACAATGAGATACCATTTCACACCAGTGAAAATGGCACATAACAAAAATAGTAGGAACAATCTGTGGTGGTGGGATTGTGGTGAAAAAGGAAAGCTTATCCACTGCTGGTGGGAATGTTATCTAGTAAAACACCTGTGGAAAACAGTATGGAGAGTTCTCAGTAAATTTAGAATTGAAATGTCATATAATGCAACAATTCTACTTTGGGCATTTGTTCCCAGGACATAAAAACACTCTCAAAAGGACATATGCACACCATTATTCATCTCTACACTCAGTACATTAGCTTAGATACAGAACCACCTATTTGTCCAATGGTATATAAATGTATTATGAAAATGGAAGTTGTTTTCACACACACAAGGGGATTCTATGAAGCTGCAAGGGATGATGAAATCATGCAATTGGCTGCAACATGGTTGAAACTACAAGATGTCATGTTCAGTGAAGTAAGCCAGAAGAGTTAAGATGAATAGGATGATCTCACTTATCTGTGGAATATAGAATATAGAATATAGATGAGGTATCTTTACAGCATTCAGCCGAAGAGAAGGACTACATGGAGGGCGGGATCCACAGATCCCGAAGGAAAAAAAAAACAGGTTACAAAAAGAGCCGAGATCATCAGGAAGTCCCAGATGGGGTAGGTACCGCATCCCGCCTCCCCCAGATGGAACCCTGGTGACCAGAAGCCTCTACAAGCACAGCTCGAGTATGCGGGAACTAGGACTTTTCCTCAAAACTGCACGGCCGCGTAATCTCTCTATATACAAAGTGATCCATGGGAAGTAAACCACCCAACGTTTCTCTCTGAAAATCATAGTTAAGTTTGGAGCACGGCCACAGCCCCAGAAACACAAGGACTTAATGCAGAACCCAGCAGCTTGGAGCAGAAAAGTGAACGGGCTATGCGTTAATCCAGGCCATCATGTCTGTCCGGAGGGGAAAGGGTGTTGCCCCATTCGCCCTCTCTTCTCTGGAAAGAAGGATGGCAGCCACATGGGGGCCTTGTGGACAGCAGGTATGAGCCGGGGGTGTGGGGGCGACTAAAACCTCATGGGAAGGGGGGCGCTCCAGTCCGTCCTTCATGCCCTACCGAGGCCACCAGTTGCCCCCCATGAGCGGCTCTCCAGCACGGCCACAGCCCCAGAAACACAAGGATTTAATGCAGAACCCAGCAGCTTGGAGCAGAAAAGTGAAAGGACTATGCGTTAATCCAGGCCATCAAGTCTGCTGGAGGGGAAAGGGTGTTGCCCCATTCGCCCTCTCCTCTCTGCAAAGAAAGATGGCGACCACATGGGAGCCTTGAGGACAGCCGGCATGAGCTGGGGGAGTGGGGGCGACTAAAACCTCATGGGAAGGGGGGCGTTCCGGTCCGTCCTTCACACCCTAGCGAGGTCACCAGTGCCCCCCACGAGCGGCTCTCCAGCACGGCCACAGCCCCAGAAGCACAAGGACTTAATGCAGAACCCAGCAGCTTGCAGCAGAAAAGTGAAAGGACTATGCGTTAATCTAGGCCATCAAGTCTGCCAGAGGGGAAAGGGTGTTGCCCCATTCGCCTTCTCCTCTCTGGAAAGAAGGATGGCGGCCACATGGGAGCCTTGTGGACAGCAGGTATGAGCCAGGGGTGTGGGGGCGACTAAAACCTCATGGGAAGGGGAGCGTTCTGGTCCGTCCTTCACGCCCTACCGAGGTCACCAGTTGCCCCCCGCAAGCGGCTCTCCAGCATGGCCACGGCCCCAAAAGCACAAGGACTTAATGCAGAACCCGGCAGCTTGGAGCAGAAAAGTGAACGGACTATGCATTAATCCAGGCCATCATGTCTGTCCGGAGGGGAAAGGGTGTTGCCCCAGTCGCCTTCTCCTCTCTGGAAAGAAAGATGGTGGCCGCATGGGAGCCTTGTGGACAGCAGGTATGAGCCGGGGGAGTGGGGGTGACTAAAACCTCATGGGAAGGGGGGCGTTTTGGTCCGCCCTTCACGCCCGAGGCCACCAGTTGCCCCCCACTAGCGGCTCTCCAGCACGGCCACGACTCCAGAGCACAGAAACCAATTTCTTAACTATCTGACTTTCAGTAGAAATACTTCCAGGGTCAATAAGTAAAATAGCAGAAATCCAAAACCAACATTTAATTCTTGAACCCAGCTGTAGAAAGCAAATCACTTCACAATGCTTTTTCAGCATGTCTGATTTGGGGGGGGGGGTAAACTCTAAATAATAGTGGTGAATCTTTTATTGAAACAATGAATCTAATCAAAGCAGATAGAGTGTTAACTAGAATTCATCTGCCCCACAGGGACTGGGAGGGGTGGGGGTGGGGTTTTATTGGGGTTCTTCATGGTAAAAAATAAGTATTGGTAAAGGGAAATGTGTTTGATATTTGCATGACTGAGACCTAAACCTGAAAGCTTTGTAACCTTTCCCACGGTGATTCAATAAATAAATAAATAAAAAAGAAAAAAATTAAAAAAAAAAGAATATAGATGAGGAAATGTAGTAAAAGGGGGAGTAATGGGTGAACAGGCACTAGGGCTTCAGTTAATCTAGTCATGAGTTAGGTGTATACGGACTTAAATTGCTCCAGAATGAAATACAACCTTCACACACTTCCCTCTTATTGTGGTGGGAAGATGCTCACTGGTTGGGTGGGTGTTTGAATATTATCTGTAATGAACTAATGTAAACTGCTTTATGAAAATAAAATGTATAAAAATTGTAAAAAAAGAGTTGATTGTATAGCCATATACCCAAAACACAGAAATGAAAACATGAGATATAAGCAGAAACCTCTGAAACTTTTCAATGTGCCTGTCAAATTGAGGTGTGTGTGTGTTTGTGTATGTGTGTGGTGTTTGTGGAGTGGGGATTGGGATAAATAGGAAATCTGGGAACACTGCAGGAGAGAAGTTGACACTGGTGGAGAAATTGATGTCGAATTACTGTGTGCCTAATATTTAACTATAATTACTTTATAAATCATGGCTCTTTAATAAAATTAAAAAAAATATTTGAGGGTCATCTGTGGGATATTAAAAAACATAGTACGAGAATACTATCCAAGGACAGAAGAATGAGGGCCAGGAGGACCGATCCATTGCTGTAAGCTTGCCACAAGTTGTGGGGGTGGGGTGGATAGGTAGTTAGGACAGAGAAGAGACCATTTTGGTAATGATAATTAGAAATGATAACTCTGGACAAGAACTGAATGATGAAAAGTGGTAAAGGGATATACAGGATAACCTCTTAGTGTCAGTATTGCAAACCATAATGCCAACAGTAAAAGGGAGTGTGTAAGAGAGAGAAATAAAAATAAAGAAGAGAGAAAGAAGAGAGAGGAAGAAAGAAACAAAGAAGAGAGAAAGAAAGAAAGAAAGAAAGAAAGAAAGAAAGAAAGAAAGAAAGAAAGAAAGAAGAGAGGAGACAAAGAGAAGCAAAGTGTTTGCCATAGAGGCAGGCTGGGGTTTGGGTGGTTGGAGGAAAACTGGTGATATTGGTGATAGAAAATGTACACTGGTGAAGGGACAGGTGTTAGAACATTGTATGACTGAAATCAAGTCATGACAAAGTTTGTTACTGTGCATCTCACGCAATTCAATTTTAAAAGATTTTTTTAATGAGGGTGCTGTGATTTGAGCTTC